AAGAAGTCCAAAGGTGATGCAGCAGTTGAGGATGGGCAACCCATGGAGGTAGAAGAACTTGCAGGTACAAACGGGGCCGAATCTGAAGAGCCAAAGAAGAAGAAAAAGAAGGAAAAGCGGAAAGCCGAAGATGTGGATGAACATGCCAATGGGGTTGAGGCCGCGAATGGGTCATCAAAGAAGCATAAGAAGAAGAGCAAGAATGAGGATGAAGATGCCCAGACCACCGGAGGCAAGAAGAAGAAGAAGAAGTCCAAGGTTGAGGACGATGAATGAATGAATGTGCATTGTTGACTTACTTCGAGCACCCCGGAGGCTATTTCTGGCGTTTTCGAAACCTTTTGATTTACTACTGAGTTTGGCTTTGTTGTGTTTTAAGCCATGTTTTGGGGTTAAGTTATGGTGTTAGTTTATCGTTAGACTTGGTAGAACAATATACTCTTTTGTTCATGGTTTAGACTAATATTGTGTGGTAGCATTTCTGGACAGACTTGCATGCATGTATTTGTCTTCTTTGACTTGTTTAGTTTATTACAACTTGCTTCTCATCTCTTTATTATTTCTGGAAATGTTACTTGCCAAATTTGCTTTTCTTGATGCTCTTTATTGTTCTTCCTACTGTCCCAAAATAAATGACCCATTAGGTTATAATGGTTAATTAAGTTTATTTGGTTAAATTATTGATGCAAATATAATGTGATATTGTGAATAGAAAATTCTTTTCTTCTTTTTTTTTTTTTATCAAAATACAAAAGTGTACTCTTATAAGTTTCTTATAGAAAACAGAAGAAGAGAACGGCATCGACAAGAGAGTATATTGGGAAGATACAAGGGAGAAAAACAGCACAACCTTAGTGAGCTGCTAAAAGGGTCGGTCATAAATCTGCACTACAAATTAATAATTCACAGCTTTATGTTCATGTGGTGCACATACAATGGGGCACCGGAGAAGCGAGCGCGTCGCGATCGAGGTGATGGGTCACCGGCTGGCCCTGGCATTTCTGGTGCAGTTTCCTCATCGCGGCGGCAAAGTCTCGTTCGGAGATGGAGGCATCGTCCAGGTAGGGGAACATCATTCGCTTGTTCGGCTTTATGTACTTCTTGTGCCCCATGTATGCTCGATGCCCCTGCCCTCCCAAATATAAAATCATTAATATCTTAAATTATGTTCCCGTATAAACTATACGGAGTCAAGGATTTTAATAGTACTAAGGAATTGATCTTACATCATTTTTTATCTATCGTATGAATGATAAAAGTTGGTAAATGAGGTTACATAGAGTAGTATAGACGTATAGTTGCTGTTAGAATACAAAGCCAAAAATTATACTCTCGATTTCTAAATCAATTTTAAATTTTCTATTTAAAAATCATATTTATAGATTTTTTTAAAGAGAATAACCAGGCCTATTTTTTTCCTTTTCTAAATAAATTTGAAATACCCATTTTTTTTTATCAAAAGTCCTTTTTGTCTACTCCCTCTATCTTTCTAAGTTCTTCATGTTTAGGATTATGATGTTTAATGAATAATATCGTAAAAATAAATAATAAAATTTACATATTTAAAAATTAATACTTCAAATAATAAGGGGTGACAAATGATAAAATTATTTTAATTTTAAATAATCAACGAAAATAAATAAAAACATTTGAATAAAGGTTAATCTTGTAGAGGGACATAGGGAGTAGTGCTTTTTCTTAAATTAAATGAAATAAAAAAGGTCAAAGTTAATTTTATTGAAAACAGAGAATTATTTTACTCGGTGCATTATACTCTCTCCGTTCGAAAATGTTCTTCATATTTGACTTTTCTTAGTCAAAGTTTATAAACTTTGACTATGATTTGTTGAAAAAAACATTGTATTATGATGTAAATTTAATATCAATATATTCATAATGAAACATAGTTTTCAAATATAAAAATTTTATAAAATATATTTATGTATAAATATAGATATTAATTGTCAAAGTGCAATATTGGAGATCGTAAAACGTCAAATTGGAAGAACATTTTCGGACGGAAGAGTATTAAATTTTATTTACCTCAAGAGCTCGGGCCATGTTCCCGCCATGGGAAGTGAGGAGGACGTCACTGTAGAGTGAAACGACGTAGTCTATGGCAGCCAAAACCGAAGCTCTGTCCAAGTAAGGCTCCAGCTCCCCCTCCCGAGCCAGCCCCTGCTTCGTCACCAGGTTCGGGAACGCCTCCCTCAGCCCCTCCACCGCCTTCCCCCCGCCGAACGGCTCCCCGCCGGCGACGTACACCCTCCCGTCCCGCGGTGCCCCCAGCGCCCTCAGCAGCCTCCCCGTCTCCCTCGCGTTCAGCGGGCACAGCCCCGCCGCTCTCCTGGCGGCGCTCGTCGCGTTCAGCTTCCCCGTCAGCAGCTCCGGGTGCGCCTCCCTCTCCCGCCCGATGATCCCGTCGTGCTCCGCCCCCAGCCCGGCGGAGCACCCGCTCCTCACCCACACGTCCTTCTCCAGGCGGAGATGGACCGCTACGTACGGCCCTTCCGCCCACATCCTCCTCGCGAACCGGTGGCTTATGTCTCGAACCGGACCGGCGAATCTCAGCGCCTGGAACGCCACCTTGCACCGGAGCTTCTGGAGATCCGATGGGAGATTCTTTGAGAGCTTTGAATCCAGACCCTTCAGTATCAGAAGTCCTTCTTGATTCAGCTGCAAAAAAGATTGCAATTTTAACTTAATTAATCAAATTAATTCATCCTCTAGTTTACCCAGATTAGTTCTTCTTCGTTTTCTTACTCGTTTGAAGAATTTGGCGCGCAACCAGAGAGGTGAAACGTGGAATGGGATCCGATTCTCGACCGTCTGCTTGGAGACCAAATGCGAGGATGGCAATGAAGATACAATCCGAACGTCGGATTTCAAGACGTTCTTGAAATGATCCACGTCGAAAATCTCACAGAATTCGCTGTGAAAAAGCAGGGATTTTTTTTTTGATTTCTTCCAATAAAATGGGAGAGTTCTGTAATTGATTGGTAAAGATCTTACCTTTCGTCCTTCCAGATGCGGTTGATTTGGAGGACGGGGACGACGAGGGCGGCTTCGAGGATCCTGGCGATGACAACGGCGTCAACGATCTGGTTCCTCTGCTGGTTCAGGCCGCCGGAAACCACCACCACCAAGAACCGCCTCCGTTCTCCGGCGATGGCGGGGGAGGCTTTCTTGTACTGGTCGCTGAAGTGGAGACAGGGGCGGTAGCCTTTGCCGTCCGGCTGTTTCCAGAATTCCCTCTCCTCGTCGGAAATGTTCCCGGAGACCACCTCCCTGCGCAACAGCAGAGGCTCCACCGCGGCGGCGCCGGACACGGCCATGAGAGTCTGCTCTGGCGGGAACAGAGGAGAGGGCTGAATTGCCGAGCAGGGGACCGAGCTCTGCCACAGGGCTGCGAAAGTGAGGATGGAGATCGAGAAGAAAGCGGCAGAGACGAGGAAGAAGACGAAGGTCACGGAGAAGCAGCGGGATCTTCTTGAAGTAGGTTTCTTGGGGGTGAATTGCAGGGAACTGAGAAGCGAGATTGAGAGGAGATGGGAGAAGAATGATGGGTTCAGAGCTATGAAGAATGATGACGATGACGATGATGATGGGCTCTTGGAGTTCTTGTTTCTTACCGCCATGATTGCGTGCTGAAGAAATTTTGCAGAGAGAGAGAGAGAGATATCTCTATCTGGTGGCTCTTTTATGATCAGCCAAGAAACGGCGATGCGAAATGGCGGGAAATATAGAGCTGAGTTCTGGAATCTCAACAGAAATTTGGTCTCCTTTATCGGATTACACCATTTACAAGCAATTTACAATTTGGTCCTCCATAAAAAAAAAGAAATGGATACTAACAAAGATTAGAAGCAAGCCCACTCCAAGCTTGACTATATAATGTATAGTTTTAGTCTTAAGTACTTCTTCCATAGTCCTAAAATTTAGACGTGAAACGTAGATATTTTCACATTTTTTTACAAGTTGACAAGTACTCCATCCGTCTCGAAAAGAGGTTTTCATTCTACTCTTTAATTCGTCCGAAAATGATGTTGCCATTCTACCTTTTTTTCTCCACTCTTCCAAAATTAGCCTCTCTTCCTTTCTTTTTTTTTTCTCCTCTTTTCTTCTTTTTTCTTCGCCTCCCCTTTTCCTCATCTCCACATTTTTTCTTTTTCTTCTTCTCTCCTATTTCTCCTCCATCTCTGCTGTTCCTTCTTCCTCCTCCTCTCTTCAATCTTCTTCTTCCTCCTCTCTATAGTCTTTATTCTTCTTTATCTTCCCCTTCTTCTTTCTATTCCATCTTTCTTCTAGGTCTACGCATATGCATGGCGACGATAGTGGCGGCCGGCGATGGCGATGGTGAGTCTACAGTTCTTACTGGCTAGTAGCGATGGTAGAGCAGGCGGTGGCGATGGTAGAGCAGATGACAGTGGTGAGAGCTAGATTTGGATAGTTTTGTACTCCGTATTTGTTAGCGGGTCATGTATTGTTTCGGGTTTAGATTGTATTTATGTGTTGTACTTATTGTGTGTTGGGCTTGGCCCATTGTACTTCTCTATATAAACACCTATTGATTAATGAGAAAGCAAGGCATTTGTAAACAAAGTTTTACATGGTATCGGAGCCATATTGGGACTCTCGAAACCCTAGCCTGCCGTAACCTGCTGCGCGTAACCTCTAACGTACGGCGAGTGCATCAGCTTCGTCGACGACATGACAGAAACTCCCAGTGCCAAGAAGACGGTGATCCCTATTCACGATCCATCTTCTCCGTACTACCTTCACCCATCCGAAGGACCTGGAAATTCTCTCACAAAATATCTGCTGCGTGGAGATAACTTTGATACATGGGAGAAGGCGATCTGTAACGCACTAAAGGGACGAGGTAAAGCGAAGTTTTTGTTTCCCGATGGTGTCCCAAAGCCGTCGGACGAGCTTGAGTATGCGGCCTGAGAGTCGAACAACTCCATTATCTGTGCTTGGATTCTAAATAGTGTTGACGAGTCTGTTCAGCCAAGCATCGTGTCTCACTCGGTGGCTCATGAATTGTGGTCGGACCTAAAATCTCGTTATGGTGGTTCGAATGGGCCTCGTGTTCATTAGTTGAAAACCGAGATGCAAAACCTCCGTCAGAAGGGCCAGTCCGTTGTAGCCTACTACAATCAGTTTATTACATTGTGGAATCAGTTGTATAGAACCAAGGACCCTACGTTCGGTTGCAAATGTCCAGCTGCAGCCTTGATTCGTGCGGACGTCGAACACGAGAAAACCCACACTTTTCTTCTCGGTCTGGACGACGAACAATATGGGTCTGTCCGCTCCCAAATCCTCGGGACGGAACCGGTTCCAGACATTAGTCGGGTTTATGCGTTGGTCGCTCGGGAAGAACGTCATCGGTCTATTGTTCGTGCTAGGGATGACCGCACAGATGCAATGGCGTTTGCTGTGGGACGTCCTCCTCCTCCGGCCCAATATCAATGCACTCATTGTGGCAAAACCGGACATACGGTGGACCGGTGTTACCAGATTATTGGCTTCCCTGCAGGTGGCAGGGGTGGTCGTGGCGGCGGCAGAACTGGACGTGGGGGCCGAACAGGGGGACGGGGGACCAAAGGCAGTGGTGGCACTGCCAACGAAGGGACGGCCAGTGCAGCGGCTGTAGAGGTGTCCAGCGCTGTGCACTCCGGCGAGGCCACCCCCACGTCTCTATCCTCCGATCAAGTGACACGTCTTCTCTCTATGCTCATCCCCTCGTCTTCTCATATGTCGTTGAATGGCATGCCGCAGTCTACGTCGCAGGATTGGCTTGTTGATAGCGGCGCGTCCCACCACATGACCGGTACCTTTTCTTACCTTTTTGATGTTAGCCCAATTCCGCCGTGCCCCGTCACTCTCCCGGATGGGTCACGTGTGTTGGCTAAAACAAGTGGGAGTGTGCATGTTTCCCCCACCTTGGTACTCCGGAATGTGTTGTTCGTTCCTACTTTGCGGTGTAATCTTATATCAGTTGGCTGCCTCGTGCGGGCCAACAACTGTCTTGTTATTTTTGATGATCGTTGTTGTGTGTTGCAGGACCGAGTTTCGATGGTGGAGATTGGTCGGGGTAATGCTAGCAATGGAGTTTACGTTTTCCAGCCTTCCGCTACCGTTTCTGCTCTTAGTGTCGATCAAGCCACTCTTTTACATAAAAGACTTGGTCATCCGTCTCCAAATATGTTGTCGTTTCCTCCTTTCAATAAAAGTGCGTCTGAAATTAGAAAGATTGAATCTTGTGACATTTGTTTTTATTCAAAACAAACTCGTTCTGTGTTTCCTTTGAGTACCAATAAAGCCGAAGCTATCTTTGATTTAATTCATTGTGATTTGTGTGGTCCTTATTCTCCGTGTTTGTTTACTGGTGCTCATTATTTTTTGACTATAGTCGATGATCATTCTCGTGCTGTTTGGGTTTATTTTCTCATTGATAAAAGTGAAGTGACGGGCTGTTTAACGCAATTCTTTGCCTTTGTGCATACCGAGTTTCACAAAACTATTAAAACTGTTCGATCTGACAATGGGACTGAATTCCTGAACAGTCCCCTTCGCCGATTGTACAGTGAGTTGGGTGTCTTGGTTCAGACTTCCTGCGTTAACACCCCTCAACAGAATGGGCGTGTTGAACGCAAACACCGTCACATCCTTAATGTAGCCCGATCGTTGATGTTTCAAGCGTCCTTACCTGTCGAGTTTTGGGGGGAATGTGTTCGTACTGCCGTCTATCTTATAAACCGTACACCTACCAAGGTCCTTGAAGGGAAAACGCCATACCATGTGTTAAACTCCAAACCCCCCGATGTCGGTCACCTTCGGGTTTTCGGGTGTCTTTGCTATGTTCGTCGTATACAACGCCTCCCAAATAAATTCGCCCCTCGGAGCACTAAGTGCGTGTTCCTAGGGTATCCCACAGGCACCAAGGGCTGGCGTGTCTACGACATGGAGTCACGCCGTTTGTTTCATTCTCGGGACATTTCTTTCGACGAATCTGTGTTTCCCTTCGCCACCCCCTCTCCTGCCGTCGGCGTGTCCTCATCCCCGTCTTCACATGCCGACTTTCCAGCCATTGTTACAGCACCAGACCCACCCCCAGTCCCGGTTTCTCCTACTACAACCACCCCACAACCCACGTCCGAAGTGGAGTCTCCCTCTCTGTCGCCCCAGTCTACCCCCGTCTCGTCACCCTCTTCTTCCGACGACGACCAGCCGCACTCCTCTCCTCCCCAGACAGTCCCACTTCGGACCCTCCCACCTCGCACCCGTCGTCAACCTTCTCACCTTTCCGATTATGTTTGTCACTCCGCCCTCACGTGCAACTCCGATGCTAGCTCCCCGGCTCTATCTACACGGTCAGGTACTCGTTTCCCTATCACTAACTTCGTGACTTATGATAAAATACAAGACAGGTACCGTGGGTTCTTGGCAGCCATCACCACGTCGGAGGTGCCCTCTTCTTTTCGCACGGATGTCCAATATCCCAACTAGCGGGCTGCCATGCAACAGGAGGTTCAAGCATTGGAGGGCGACCACACGTGGGACATTGTTGATCTCCCTCCGGGCCGACGTGCGTTGGGGTGCCAGTGGATAAATAAGACAAAGTTTCGTTCTGACGGTTCGAAAGAGCGCGACAAAGCGCGCCTTGTGGTTATGGGCAATCATCAAGAGCCAGGTACTGATTTTACTGATACATTTGCACCTGTGGCTAAAATGGGTACGGTTCGTATTCTTTTGTCTGTTGCCGTGGCCAAGGATTGGGAGGTATATTAATTGGATGTCAATAATGCTTTTCTTCATGGTGATTTGCATGATGAGGTATATATGCAGGTGCCTCCCGGTTACTCTCACTTACACCCCGGGAAGGTGTGTCGCCTTCGGAAGTCTTTGTATGGTCTACGGCAGTCCCCCCGTAATTGGTTTCAGAAATTAACCACTGCTTTGCGTCAATATGGGTTCCGCCAGGCCCACAAGGATCATACACTATTCTTATATAGGCGTGGTCCTGATGTTTTGGTTATCTTGGTTTATGTCGATGACATCCTGGTCACTAGTAATAACGCTTCTTTGTGTGCCTCCTTCAAGCGTTACCTGGATACATGTTTTCACTTGAAAGATTTGGGTCTGGTAAAATATTTCCTCGGCATTGAGTGTGCTCGTTCTTCCACTGGTATGGTCCTGTGCCAATGCAAATATGCGTTGGATATTTTGTCTGAAGCCGGCTTACTGGGCTGCAAACCTGCCGACATACCGATTCAGCCGAACCATGGCTTGGGCCGTTCGGCCAGCCCACTGCTCCGTGACCCTGGGCGCTATCGTCGCATTGTCGGGCGGTTGATATATTTGACCATCACGCGTCCCGACTTAGCTTACTCTGTTCATGTATTGTCTCAGTTTATGCAGGCTCCCAGGGTTGATCATCTCGCCGCGGCCATGCGTGTATTGCGGTACCTCAAAGGACATCCTGGCCAGGGCATTCTTCTACGCCGTGACAGCACTTTACAGATCGCGGCTTATTGTGATTCTGACTGGGCCAGTTGCCCTCTTACCCGCAGGTCGGTCAGCGGGTATTTTGTCATGCTTGGTGGTTCTCCCGTTTCTTGGAAAACTAAGAAACAAACGACGGTATCTCGTTCCTCTGCAGAAGCTGAATATCGCGCCATGGCCAACACCTGTGCAGAGATCAGATGGATACATCACGTTCTTGAGGCTCTCGGCGTGCCCATATTGCATCCTCCTCGGTTGTTCTGTGATAATCAATCCGCGTTGTTTATTGCTGCGAATCCTGTTTTCCATGAGCGGATGAAACACATTGACATTGATTGCCATATTGTGCGAGAATGTGTTCAACGCCGAGAGGTCTCCACTCGTTATTTGCCGACACGTCTTCAGGTAGCCGATCTCTTCACTAAGCCGTTGTCTAAACCCACCTTCCAGTTCTTACGGTCCAAGTTGGGCATTCATGATCTTCATGCGCCAACTTGAGGGGGAGTGTTAGCAGGTCATGTATTGTTTCGGGTTTAGATTGTATTTATGTGTTGTACTTATTGTGTGTTGGGCTTGGCCCATTGTACTTCTCTATATAAACACCTATTGATTAATGAGAAAGCAAGGCATTTGTACACAAAGTTTTACAGTATTAGATCTTTTTCTTCTCATTTTGTTTCCCCTAATTTTTCCCTTTCCTAATTGTGGTGAGGGCTGAAGAAGATGGTGAGGATAGGGATAGCGGAGATGCAGTAGTCGACGATGGCGTTGGGCAATGTTGGGCGGCGGTGGAGCAGGAGCAGTGGTGGGTGGCGATGGGCAGCGCAGCGATGGGCGGAGGTGGGTCGGAGCAGCGGTGGCTGGGGTGAGATAGTGGTGGGGGGCAAAGCAATTCAAGGAAGGTATGAGGGTATTTTGGACATTTTAGTGTCATAGTCAACATTTACTAAAAATGAACAAAAGTCAAACTGGGAACGTCTTTTCCGGACTAATGAAGTATATCTTTTTTATAAAAAACATACTCCTCCGTCTTTCTAAGATCTTCTCGTTTTGACTTTTTGTGGTTTTTAAGGAGAGTTGAAAAAAGGTAAAAGTTTACCATAATACCCTTAATGAAAATGCGTGGAGTGTATTAAATGAGGTAGGTGGGGTGTAATAAATAAAGTAAGTGAGGGTAGTTGTATTTTAATTGTTAAAAAAGGTAATGAGAAGATCTATGGTGGACAAATAAAAATGGCTAATGGGAAGATCTATGGGGGACGGAGGGAGTAATTCTTTTATGATATTAATACACTAAGTTCATAAGATAAATATAGACCTTAGGATCACATAAGAATTTGCCTTTAGTTTGATTTTTCGAGACACGGACTAGTTCTCATTCTATTGCTATCACGAATCATCAACGTCACACTTAACACATTTCCCTAAAGACTATTAATACGAGGGATCAGAGACGCGAATTGAGGCAAAGCAGACACTGTAAGTAAGAGCTCGACCGCCAAGGAACGTCGCTTGACATGCAAGATTTAAATATTTTATTTAAATTGCATATTAGTTGTTATTTGTTTATACTTGTAACTTAGTTTCCATTAGGTGAATAGAATTATATGCTTTTTGGAGAGTTTCTTTACGGTCATTTATTTCATTGCTTTTATTGACCCGTAACGATAAAAAATATAGTGAATTACAATTAGAGTTCTTTATAATCGATAAATAGGGATACTCCCTCTCATATTAGATCGGTATGGGGAAAGAATATAGAAAATTCTCTAGTTCTCATTGTTTATTTTCTTTGAAACTCGAAGATGCTCGAAGTTTTTTTTAAATGATACTCTTTTCTACGGCATCATTAGTACTTTCATCCTGACTTTCACCGCAAAGGTTTCTGATGATACACTCAAGCAAGTAATTGTGGACGTGGGGAGTTTGACAACCACGATGGCCTCATGATTGGACTCAATCGGATCAAGACCACACTGAATCTCAAACTCGATCCACCTAAATTTTAAGCCTCAAACGTGCAAACTTGGATGTTTAAAGTCCAAGAGTGTTTCAATTTGTTTCAGACCTCCTCGGATCAGCACTTAACACTTGTGGGAGTCTTTCTCGAAGGTGATGCAGTTGATCGATTGGTTTTAATATTAAAAGTCTAATTATTTAATTAAATAAGTAAATAATAACATTATATTTAATTATTATAATTAGTTAGAAATTATTATAATTGATTATCATTGAAATTAAAATTAGTGGTTATATTATTTACTCCCTCCGTCCCGGAGTATTCGTCCAGTTTTGACGTTTGAAACTGTTCATCTAAGCACTTTGACTCATCAAATTCTCTCAATGTGTAAGCCTAAATATAGTCATGTGTGATCTTGTTTGATTTGTCTTAACATATAGATTATTAATATATAATTTCTATAATTTTTTAATATACAAATTACAAGATAAAATAGATTAAAGAAATGTATTAGATGGTGTGTAAAAATGAAAGTTGACAAATACTCTGGGACGGAGGTAGTATTAAAGATTTAAACATAAATATTACCTCCTCTATCCATCCAATACATTATTCTCAATAGTTTAAATGTTTGTATGTGTGCCTTCACATTGTGAAATACTCTGTAGTAGTTTGATGGCGGTTCCAATGTAGGTGCTCTTAATAAGATGATGACGAAGACCCTAAGACCTATAGAAAAATGAAAATGTTAGAACATTTTTTGAAGCTTAGCCGACATTGTCACTAGTGGAGCCTAACATCGACCAACAAAGCCGATCCTAGTTTCATAGTTCTCCATTTTGTGAGCCATGTTCTAAGGTAATAAGTATCTCTAGGCACAACGTTAAACACTAAATCCTAACAACGTCAAACACTATGACTCATCTAAGATAGTCATTTTTTCCTCTTAGGGTGTCCCTTGCTACAAAAACCTCGTTGAAGAACTGAGGCAATAGAATGACCATCATAAAAAATTGGGCGTAACATGGTTGGATGGTCAATCATTCCCCATGTTAAAACAATTTATGTTACAACCACTGACTACCAGCGTGAACAAAACTTGACTAGGAACATGCATACCATATAGCCCGCTTGTTTGAATCACAATTATGGCGCCTCTTTGCCTTTCCGGTAGGTTAGAGTCGGCCGGTATATGTATACCCCCTTGCGCAACAACCTTTCATCTCTCATTCACGTGCACCATATCTTCACCGTGCTAATATTTTTGCTCAGTTTTAAGCCTCTGCTTGTCCTTTGTGCCTAGACCACTAAAATCCTCTCTCTTGGACTGCTAGGATGAATTGGACTCTACCCTTCCTTTTAGCCTAATCTCTATGATCTTAGGCCGGTAGAACAAGTTGAACTCTACCATGCATTCCACTCAACTCAATCTCTCTTATAGCTTTAGGACGTGTTGGAACCTATCCTTCCATCTGACCCCATTAATATTTTTTTGGATCAGGTGGATGACATTCTCTCTATTCTTACTTTGACCAGCTATGGGCCCATCCTTTTATATTTACACTAATGGGGGCGATTCCCATGAGCCGTGTTTGGAAATTAAGAATTCACTTAAATTCTTGAATTTAAAATTTAAAATTTGTATTCATAAATTTCAAATTTCAAGAGAGAGTGTATGGATTTATATTTGATCTGTATTAGGAATTATAAAAATTTGTTTCAAATCTAATCAATTTAGGCTTGCAAATTTGTACTTTGGGTTAAACTAAATTTGAAATCCAATTTAAGCTTTTTAAAAAATAATAGTTATGTTATTGTGGTCCTAAGTTTCATATGTATAATATAGACTCTCCCACATATGAGGCATTTTTTAATTTTTAGGTATTTTATAATTTTTAGGTAAATTCTTTTGTAGTCTTAAAAACTACAAAAGAATTTATTTTCAAACAAACCATAGTTGAGAAGAACATTTTGAAATTAAAAAAGAGTAAATAACAATGACAAAATATAGTTACAACAATATTTGTACTCTATATAAGAAAATTAAAAAGTATATTTTTAGGCTATTTCCAAAATGATAATGAGAAAATGTATTTAGAATAACACAATACCCCTACGTGTGGGGATGATATTCCCATTTGACTTTTTTGGTTAAAATCTATAAACTTTAACTTTGATATGCGAAAAAATATGTTATGTTTTGATATATAAATATAATATCAATACAGAATAATTTCTTTTTGAAATGTAGTTTGAAATATTTAATTTTTAAAATATTTCTATGTATAAATAGACATAAATAATCAAAATGTTACATTTGAAATCATATAAAAAAAGAAGTTTTTTCCCAAACGAAGGGAGTAATTATAAGTGTAATCTCAAAAATACGGTATGTTTATTGCTAAACTTACACCAAAAATTGTACCTCATTTGTACACCGCAGTTATACACAAACATTTTGATGGTTTACACCGACACAAGTATTGGTGCGTTAATAAAAATTTACACGGACACAAAGTGTGGGTGCGTTCACAAAAATTAGTTTTACACTAACACAAAATGTCGGTGCAAACATGCGGTGTACAAAATGAGGTACAAAAGTTTGGGGTACAAATAGCTTTATCCTTATTGTTTTCCTAGAATTGTATATGAACGAATTTACACATTGTAAGTAAACTTTTAAGGCTAAGTTTGATACACGAAATTAAAATTAAATTCTAATTCAATTCTAAATTATTTATTTAGTATAATTAAGTAACAATTATAGAATTATACTCCGTATTACAATTCTAATTTTTTTATTTGGTAACACAAAAATGTACTCAGGGGCTGTTTGACAACTTCTGAATGGATAAATGCTGAACCAGTAAGAGGTCTGAATCATTAAGTGCTGAACCAGTAAGAGGTCTGAACCATTAAGAGCTAGTATATTGCTTAACTATTCAGAGGCAAATGTCTGATCAATTCAAATAAGAGCTCTTAACCATTCAGACTCTGTATAATACTTAACCATTCAGAGACAAATCTCTTAACCATTCAGACATCTGGACCATTAAGAGGCTGAAACAAACAGTCTGAACCATTAAGTACTGAATCATTCAGACATCTGAACCATTAAGAGGCTGAAACAAACAGCCCCTCAGTACATAGAATTGACATGAAATAGTATTACCAATTTTTTGTGCTTCCAAATTTACATATGGAGTATTTCTAGAATTACTCCGTAATAACAAAATGGAATTAGAATTAAATTTTAAAATTGACATATTTTTCATATGCTACTCAAATGAATTAAGTGAAATTTGCACTAGACTAAAACATAATGACTTTCCTAATGTAAGACTTAAACTTTTTTAATCCCTAAATAAGACTTAATAATGACCTAGTTGAAGGAATAATGTCCAGTAATGATGGACATTAAGTTGAATAATGACTACATGATAATGATTAATGGTCCTACATTGGAAAATAAAAACATATGGTCCTATATTAGGAAAGTCATTATGTTTTAGTACTATTTAGGTAAATTTCTCCTGAATTAATCCATTTCTCTTCTGGTTGCAAGAGGCGCTCGGACTCTCCTCCAAGCACTAGGCTGTAGCAGATCTGGTTGACTTCTCCAATGCTTCTCCGGTAGCCTTTCTCGCCGTCGGCATATGATATGATTACTATCTATTGCTCTGTATCTATCGTTGAATCACTTTTTTGTTTTTTGTTTTTTTTTGTTTTTGTTTCAGAGGAGTCTAAGAAGAAGAACAAATCTCGGGGAGAAAAGACTGTGATTGGAATGCCGGTCCAAATATTGCTTCACTAAACCACCAGGGAAACTCTAGCACTGTGGCTTTCTCCATTTTCTGAACATACAAATTGAGTTTTCTATTCACGAAGTAGTGTTTGTTTTGCTTGCATATCAGTTGATGTTAAAATGGGATTATAATTTAGAAGTCAACACTTTTGTTGTTTTTCCTTTCGTGTGCAAATCGGGTGCTTTGACATATGAGAGTTCTAGCGTTTGGAAAGGTTTATTGATTTTTGGTGTAGATATGTTTCTGGAAATGGATCCTATATTCGTGGTGCTGGTATGGACAGTCTCTGCCTGAAATCAAAGCTAATTACAAAGGTAATCTAAGTTTGTGTTGAAAGGAGATGCCAAATGGTGCTTGCTTTATAGTGTGTGTGTGTTTCATGTTTCTACAAGTAGTTATATAGAAGATGATGTACATATATAATGAGGAGGTCAGGAGGTGGTCTATGGCACATGCCCGCGATTTATCTATTGCCTGAAGGATAGTTATATAACAAAGGAAAGATGGATCTCAGGCAAATGCATTTTGGCTTGTTAGAATCTAGGCGCCTATTACTAGGATGCCAACTTTGGCAATACGCTTGCTAGGTACATATGTTGGCATCAACATATGGTTGTTTCTTTTACGTTTTGTTGATAAGTTTCTCTTAATGCATAGACATATGGTTGTTTTTTTTTATATTGTTGATGAGTTTCTCTTTTGGCTCCATGCTCACTTCTATGGTTCATGACTTGTCTAAAATGTCTTCTCTTTGATTTAAATTATGTAATTGTATACATGAGTACTGTTTAGTTGTGGAGTACTTTCCATGGACCTCTTATCTTATATAGAAACCCTATGACAGCATAAGGGGATTGCTAAATGCAGATTTTTTTTGCAATCATTACCTTTAGATGCTGCTTCCAACCATCCAACATATTTGTGCCAAAATATTTTGCTTGCAAAATGGAATTTTCATCAGGTCACTATAACCTTTTATATACGGAGTATACATTTTTCTCTCTTGGTTCCATATACAAAGGTAACTGTGTTCTTTTCCGGTTTGACAGGGGAGTTAATGGTGTACAATATCATCTTTCTTCCATTTTTTGCTACACTTGTGAAGTTAGCTTTTTTTTGCCTCATGGGGTATGATTCATAAAAGTTAATAATTAAGATTTGTGAATCATACCCCATAGCTTTTTTTCCCCAGAATTTCAATTCCTGAAGCATAAAACATTGAAATCCCATGGAGGTTCTGTCGAATATATGGACTCCACACAAGTGATCGTGTTGGCATGCTGATTCCCGAGGCCAAAAACAAGTAGATTTAAGGGCCATTTATGTTGCAATAGACAAGTCGGTCAAATGCTCATCAAAGTAGGGGTTTTTTAGTTTTTCTAGTAGGAGTGTTTCTTCTTTTCCTAGTATGTGTTTAATTTTGTTTTTCTTGTCATCTAAGTTGGGGTTGGCTATAAATACGTCAGCCAATCTAAGGGTTATGTATCTCTTGCAATCAAATTTTGAGCAATACTTCCTTGGTTATAAAAGTCATGGAGAGTTATTCCAAAGTTTATGTGTTTTTTGATATTAACTCTAACTTGAATGGGAAGGAGGTGATTAGTAAAGATCTCTGGCTCTCATTGAGGATATGACCTTAGATAGGAGTGTTTGGAGGTGTGCCATAGACCACCTCCTCACCTCCTTATATATGTACATCATCTTCTATATAACTACTTTTAGATACATGAAACACATACACACTATATAGTTGTTTTTACCCTTGTCGTTATGTGCTTTCTTTGTTTGGTGCTTTATGCTTGCTGCGTTTCCCTTTGTACACCTTGGTCTGCTCTTTGCTCTTTCTTACCCCTTTTCTGTGCTATGTGCTTTAGGTGCTCAACTTGTTGCCTGTGTTACTTGAGCTAGGGGTATTTTTGAAAGAGCTGCTCTACTTTCGAGTAGGGATAAGGTCTGCCTACACACACCTCCCTAATACTACCGCCTACTTTTGTGGTATTCAATTGGGTTGTCATTGTTGTTAATTCTAACTTGAATTGGTATCGGAGCAGATCAAGAACCTGTGCTTGTGTTCTGTTCCAGAAGCGATCAAAGCGGTCGTGATCAAAGAGAAAAACAACGATCACCTACAGCCGAAAAGCATAGATGGGTGATGAGGACTGAGGAGGACCTCGTGAAGAACAACTCAATGTCGCTCAAATGCCCGATGTTGGCTTCTGTCAACTACACCATCCAGGCAATGAGAATCCAGGCAATCTTCAACTTTCATGGTGTATGGGATGCCATTGAACCGGGGACGGAGGTGGGCGCCAAGAAAAACAACATGGCGGTTTCCCTTTTGTTCCAATTCATTGTCGAATAGCATATCTTGCAAGTGTGCAATCTCACTATGGCAAATGAAGCAAGACTGCGGACTTTGAAAACTGAGTTTGATGGGTTAAACATGAAAGACTCAGAAACAATTGATAACTTTGCAAGCAAGTTGTCAGGCATAGCATCTAAGTCGGCTACCCTAGGAGAAATCTTGGAAGAAAATAAGCTTGTTACGAAGTTCCTTGCGAGTTTACCAAGGCAGTTCATCCATATTATGTTGCATCAACTGAACAAGTCTTGGATCTTAAGGCTGTCGGATTCGAAGAAGTAGTGGGACAATTAAAAGCATACGAGAAGAACGCATAAAGGATGAAGAAATGCCAACTGACTCTCAAAGTAAGCTTTTATAATAAAGTAGAATCATCTTCTAATCTGTCTAAATCTCGGTACAAAAACCACGAAGTAGAGTTCATCAAAACCGTGTACCACAAGAAGCTGTTAATGGGGTGAAAAGTAGTATGGAAAAGGCAAGGATCACTCCAATGTTCAGTGCTTTAGATGTGACCAATACGGACACTTCGCTTCAACCTGTGCAGAACGCAATACATGAAACTGTTATCTTGCATGAAAACAATGTGTCTCTGAACAGTTTCAAGAATGAGGAAAAAGATGAAGACATATGGTACATAGATAAAGGAGCCACTAAACATGACTGGTAGCTGTTCATACCTTTTGGAGCTCAATTAATAAGTCTCTGGGAATGTTAGGTTTGGGGACGGCTCGTGGGTCGCAATAAAGGGAAAGAGCTCGATTTTGTTTGAAACCAAATCTAGGGCACAAAAGCTTTTAACTAACATCCTTTTTTATCCCCAAACTCCATAACATTATAAGCTCGGGACAAACAAATAAATCTGGTTGTAAAATCTTTGATGGATGAAGATTATCTAGTCATGTATGACAGGAGCGGGCAGTTGATAATGAAGGCGAAGCTAACCAAGAATAAAATAAGGCTCACAACTGGAAACCCATTTGTCACAATGCATGACTCGAATACCAGACATGGCGCTGGCATTCAAGGCTTGGGCATCTTAATTTCTAGTCAACGAAACACATGAGTACGAGATAGTTGATGATTGGTTTACCTCTTATCAATCATCGGAACCAAATTTGTGACTCTTGCTTGATGGGAAAGCAAGCAAGAAGCCCACGTCCGAATCATACCGTGTTTCGAGCTTCAAAAGGACTAGAACTATTCCATGGTGATTTATGTGGCCTGGTTATTCCTCGACACTAGGGGGGAGGGGTGACAAATATATTTTTGTACTTATTGACGACTTTAGTCGTTATATGTGGATGTGCCTTTTGAAGACGAAAGATGAGAACTTTGCAGTGTCCAACAAGTTTAAAGCTCAAACCGAGTTAGAAACAGGGATGAAGATCATGACCCTCCGGACCAATAGGAGAGGAGAGTTCCATTCGAGGAGTTGAACCGGTTTTGCAAAGATCAAGGAATCAAGAGGCATCTCACTGCCCCATATAAGCCTCAACAAAATGGAGTGGTCGAACGGCGTAGTAGAATAATTATGGAGATGACCCGAAGCCTCCTGAAAGCTATGAAAGTACCTCATGCCTTGTGAGGCGAAGCCGTAATGCATACTGCCTACATAATGACATTGAACCACTTGAATAAGCTTGATGACAGATCAAGGAAGCTTGTACATCTTGGGTGTGAACAAAGGGATACCGACTATTTGATCCCCAAAGCCATTGGGTGGTTATTAGTCGGGATGTGGTGTTTAATGAAAAATAGGGCTGGAACTGGTCAGTATTCAAGTCTGAAATGGGTTTCAAAGGGATGAAGATTTCTCGATAGCTGATGTAATCGAGACTTGTGGTTATCATTTGGGGTCAATAAATGATGCAGAATTCAGCTCAGAGAGGAGCAATGGTACTGCCCAGGTCACAGCTGTCAGTCTCAGGACTGCTGCTTGCGTTAGTCTCAGGATTGGCATCACTGGTTCTCCTCAGTCCTATCAGCCCTCGATGCCACAAACAGCAACTCCAAACCAGAGAGAATGTGCCAAGGAGACCCTCTCGAGTGCCTGTGACAGCAGTCAGATTTAATGATTATCTTATGAGCTGAAGGATTGATCATGAAGATCTCAAGCTAGCCAAGGATGTGGAACCCAATTCATATGAAAAGGCCAAGTGAAGGTCGGATTGGGTGAAAGCAGTGAAGGATGGGTTGGATTCAATTCACAAAACTAAGACATGGCAACTCATTAATCCTGCAAGTAATGTCAAGCCAGTAATGGGTCGATCAACAAATATAAGGCATGACTCGTTGCTAAAGGGTACATGCAACAACAAGGAATTGACTATGATGAAGTTCTTGCACCCGTAGCCCAAATTGAAAGGATTCGTTTGCTTATAGAACTAGCTCCGAGTGAAGGTCGGGAACTACATCATTTAGACGTGAAGTCAGCTTTCTTCATGGCAAACCAATGAGGATGTATATGTTGAGCAAGGGGGAAGAACGTAAAGTGCACAAGTTGTCAAGTTCAAACAGGCGCTATATGGGTTGAAACAAGCCCTAAGGGCATGGAATACTAAAATCGATTGGATACTCAAAAGTCTCAAACTTATTAAGTGTGCTGACGAACAAGTGGTTCAATCAAACGACTTGATCTTGATCAGGGCTATTTATGTTGATGACCTCCTTGTTACGGGATCAAATAAGAAAGAAGTGCAAAGATTCAAGATGCAAATGGAACAAAGTTTTGAGATGAGTGATCTCGGAACACTTTCTTATTATTTGGTAATCGAAGTTCAAGAAGGAAGACATGGGATTTCAATAAAGCAAGAAGGGTACACAATTAAGGTTTTACAGGATGTCGGGATGCACGAGTGCAATCCCACACAATATTCTATGGAACCAGGAAATCAGGAATGAAGCTTACGAAAGAAGAAGCCGGGAAAAGTGTTGATGCCACGAAGTTTCGAACTCAAATCGAGTGCTTACGATACTAACTTCACATTCGATCGGACTTTTTGTTTCCTGTTGGAATAAGTCGGTATATGCAAGACCCTAAAGAATCTCGCATAGCAGCAATGGAGCATGTTTTGAGAAATCTAGAGGGAAGCTTAAGCCTTGACATTCACTATCCACAAAATGGAACCAAGGAATTAATGGGTTTTTGGTTTTAGTGATAGCTCACACAATGCCGATAAAGATGATGGGAGGAGCACAATGGGTCACATCTACATTGGTAATTCGCCAATTACATGAAGTTCTCAAAAGCAAAGTACCGTGGCACTATCACCTTGTGAAGCTGAGTTCATGGCTGCAACGTTGGTGTCATGTCAAGCTATTTGGCTAAGAGAATTACTAAGTGAGATTACCAGAAGACCACTACGAACTGTGCAACTAAGGGTGGACTATGTTTCGGCAATAGCATCAACGAAGAATCCCGTCTTTCATGGTAAAGTAAGCATATTCATACCCGTACTATTTCATTCGTGAATGTGTTGAGAAGGGCCAAATCAAAGTTGAGCGTATAAGTAGAGATGAGCAAAAGGGAGACATACTAACGAAAGCCCTCCCGCGAATCAAGTTCAAGGAGACGTGGGAGCTACTTTGAGTGGAAGACCTGTCTAATTCAGTTTGGGAATTTGGGGGGGGGGGTGATGGTTGTTGGCATGCTAATTCCCAAGGCCCAAAAAACGAGTAGGTTTAAGGGCCGATAATGTTGCAATAGACAACTCGGTCGAATGCCCATCAAAGTAGCATTTTTTTAGTTTTCCAAGTAGGAGTGTTATTACCTTTCCTAGTAGGAGTTTAATTATGTTTTTCTTGTCATCCAAGTTGGGTTTGGCTATAAATACATCAACCAATCTAAGGGTTATCTATCTCTTGTAATCAAGTTTAGATTAATATTTTCTTGGTTATAAAAGTCTTGGAGAGTTATTCCAAAGTTTATGTGTTTTCTTGATATTAATTCTAACTTGAGATCGGAAGTCCAGTGGAAAGAAAATACTGCCTATAAACATCATTCACTTTTCATGTAAGTAATAATCTATCTAGCTTGTGTTTGTAGTTTTTTATATTCTTGCCCTTATTGCATAATTTCATGTAATTGCACTTATGAGTTCCATAACTTGTTTTGAAGATATGTGATGTGTGGTGATAACCTTAGTCACATATTATAATCTCAATTTTTTTCCAGCTCTTACAATTCTTGCTGGTTGTTGTCTTGGTGATTTATGCGATTCTGAATTGCAGGCACATGTCACTCAACCAAGTCTTATTGGTGCTGCAATGAAGGAGATGTGTATTCAAGAAGACTTGATAGGTAATACAAATACATCCACAGTAATGAAAGTTTTCTGCAGTTCATAGAAATTTAAAAAAACAGCGCCAATCTCAAAATATATTGAATCGAGTAATAATAAAAGAATTTTGTTAACAGAAGAATTCAAGCATGTGAATTATGCAATTGAAAATTGTACAAGCAAATACTTCAAATAATCTGTTCATCCTCTGCACTAATAACAGCACCTCTTCACCCTACTAATTTCATTCCTCTCCATCATTGCAGTGGAACAGCTACAACTACCAATTTGAAGTGATTCTCTTGATCGTTTCCTGCTTTCATCTCCATCACCCAATCTAAGTGTCGCGGACAGTGGTTTGAACACAAACTTGACCTCTTTGATTTCACTAGGTTCAAACAACACAGGACAGTGCGTTCGAACCCTTTCCAGCACTTTCACCACGTCTCTGCTGTGAGATTTCCCTTCAAAATCATCATAGTAGAACCTAGAGTGAACCTCACTCAATAATGCCAGAACCCTATCAAGCTCCCCATGTTCTCTGCTCTCATCATAGAAAACACTGGCACTGCTGCTCTTCCCAAAAAAGTAATACGGTGATATACTCAACACATTCTCCCTGTCATTCTCAGCCCAAACCCCAGGCTTATCGTCCACAATCAGCACGACTCTCGGATGGGACAAAACAATATCCAGCCCCTTTTGCTTCTCAACGGTGCAATTTTCTCTAGAATAAATTGTCAAATTGGGATCTCCGAACAATCCCAAGTCCTCAGGATCCAAAAGCTTCACGACCCTCTTTGCATACTCATTAGAGCCCATGGTGTAGACAGACAAATCGAACATTTTGCAGGCCTTCTCCAAGAAAGACCGGACCCCTGGCCTAAGCTTCAGCATCCAAGCACCATCATCGAGCAAGTACGAATCTTCATGGCTGGTGTTCTTGAACCATTCCTTGTCTTGAATGGTTAGTTTCGAACCCTTCACACAGTGGACCAGAGTGTGGTCCAAATCAAGGACAAGATGAAGCTTCTTGCCGCTCTGCAGCCTCTCCAAGTCTCTGTCACGAACCCCGGCAGTAATGGAGTCCCAATCAGGAGATTCCATGTTTAGTGTTATCGGAATTATTGGGAAGATGATATATTTGTGGCGGCAGGGTTTAATTTCTTTCTTTTTTTTGTTGTAGAAGTTTGGTTTATAACGTTGCTTATAAATAGTCCGTAATAGGGTAAACTTGGTTTCCGAGTTTAATTGGGAATGCACATTTAGGAAAGTAATATTTCTTGCAACAAGGGTTTAGTAATGATCCAGGTGTAATGAATGATATGGACACTGGCATTTTGAGTTGCCGCGTAATTTTTTTTGGAAACAAATATGATAATAATAATAATAATAATACATACGAATTTGTACTTGTTTATTTTTATTTTATTTTTGTGCCTCCATTAAATGTCTAATTTTTTTTTATGAATTGGCTAAAATATTTTGTCTAAGATAAGGTATGATGTGACTTTGTGAGCATTCTTGACATGAACGAATGTAAGAGTGAGTGAAAAATACCGGCTTGATCTTATTTCAAAATAAATTGATGGATGGAGTAGCAACAAAAAATGAATTTTTAAATGCACAATTTGATAATAATTAGTTTCATTGAATTATGAAAGTTTTATCAATATATATAGAAAAACATACATATGGAATCTTATCTAAAAAAAATTCAAAAAAGTAGGAAAAGAAAATATGGTAACATGCTAAATGGACAACTTAGGACATACTCCCTCCGTCCCCCTGTATTTATCCACATTTGACTTTTGGAAATGTTCATCTAAGCACTTTGACTCATCAAATTCTCTCAATGTGTAAGCCTAAATATAGTCATGTGTGATCTTGTTTGATTTGTCTTAACATATAGATTATTAATATATAATTTTTATAATTTTTTAATATACAAATTACAAGATAAAATGGATTAAAGAAGTGCATTGGATGATGTGTAAAAATGAAAGTGGACAAATACAGGGGGACGGAGGGAGTAAGTGCTGAAACAANCTGTATTTATCCACATTTGACTTTTGGAAATGTTCATCTAAGCACTTTGACTCATCAAATTCTCTCAATGTGTAAGCCTAAATATAGTCATGTGTGATCTTGTTTGATTTGTCTTAACATATAGATTATTAATATATAATTTTTATAATTTTTTAATATACAAATTACAAGATAAAATGGATTAAAGAAGTGCATTGGATGATGTGTAAAAATGAAAGTGGACAAATACAGGGGGACGGAGGGAGTAAGTGCTGAAACAAAGATCAGGGAAGTGGTTATGCGAGAATAGTTGTTAGAAGTAGAGAGTTGTGTCTTTGTTGCATAACAAACGAGTTTGAGAATGTGTTTCTTATATTTTTCTCCGAGAAGATTAGCAATTGGAGTGAGGGCAAGGAGTCTCCTCCATTCTATCAACCTATAGAAGAAACATAGACAAGTGTACCTTTTCAGAAATTCAAGCATACCCACGTTTTTTAGAGGGGTCATGCTACACTTACACCACAAATTGTACCCCATTTGTACACCGCAGGTATACACAAACATTTTGATGGTTTACATCGACACAAGTGTTGGTGCGGTAACAAAAATTTACACGGACACAAAGTGTTTGTGCATTAACAAAAATTAATTTTACACCAATACAAAGTGTTGGTGCAAACATGCGGGGTACAAAGTGGGGTGCAAAAACACGGGGTACAAGTAGCTTTATCCTTTTTTAGAGAGAGAAAAATAAAAGATGACGGCAATTGGACATCACACTCGTCGGGATTGGTTATTGTCATGTAGCTTCGTCCAGTTGGCGTTGCCGAGGAAGGTAGATCGCTGGTAGGTGAAGAAAAAAAAGGAAGAAGGACAGTGGCCGCAAGACACGTCGTTCGGTTGGCTGGTTGTTTAAGGCTTAGGGATAAAGTGTAGCACTAGTATCTCGATACAATTTGATAATAATTGATCTTATTGAAAATATGAATGTTCCATTAGTATCTATAGAAAATTCACACAGATTCCTAACTAAAGTAGAAATAGTAAATAAATGAAAAACTAGAATAATTTAGTAATTATTTGTTATTCCTATATGGTTTAATAAAGTACAACATATACTTGCTTCTAAAAGGGTATGAACCACATCTCTAAAAACAACAACAACAACAACCCAGTTAAATCCCACATGAGTAGGGTCTGGGAAGGGTGTGTGTACGCAGACCTTGCCCCTACTCGAAAGTAGAGAGGCTGTTTCTAAAGAGACCCCCGGCTCAAATTTATTTCTTGTCAATTTTCCACTGACAAGAGAATTATGAAAAGAAATCACTCTAAATAGGAATAAAATATAGATAAGTACTAAAATAAGAGTTTCATGTTTTTATTTTCTAAATAGAAGTTTGCAATGTGATAATGTGACACTGTACATTTACATTTTACTATACTTTTTAGTAATATACGTTCTCATAATTGATAATGTAAATGTATTTTAACTCCTATTTTGAGAATGAAAATATGAAACTCTTATATTTTGATATATTTTTAATGTTTTATTTTTATTTTAGCTTTTTTCTCAAATATGACTGGAGAATATGAATCGTCTATTTTGTGAACGAAGCGCCGTTGGCGCCTAAAAATTAGTACCATTGTAGTGTCAACGACACCAAATGCCATTGGAACCGTGCCATCACTTTAAATACTCCCTCCGTCCCAATTTGATTACAATTTTTTTTTTCTCTCCTCTTGATAACTTTTGTTTGTTTACGCGATTTCATCAAGTATTTGATAAAATAAAATGTTCTTGTCACCTCTTATTTTGTAGAACTTTTGACGTAGTTTTTTAATATGTAATTTTTATAACTTATTGATATACCAATTTGTAAATAAAATGATTTCAAAAAGTAGGAAATTTTACTCCGTAACTCGCAATTTGTAATCAAATTGGGGACGGAGAGAGTATTTGTTTAATTATTGTTGCTTATAACTTGTTATTTTTAGTGCCATTCAAAAATAGCTAACAACGCAATTTGTTGTGTGCTCACCTTCAATTTCGACGTGTTAGTTTTCTTGTATGAATACTACTCCCTTCGTCACACGATACACTTCTCAGTTCTTCTTTTATCTGTTCCAAAAAATATTTTTCATTTCTATTAAAAGTCACTTTTATTTTTACTAATTCTTAACCTACCTAACACATAATTTTATGATTTGATTTAATAACTAAAAGAGTTATAGTTTATGCGTTTTAGACGATTTATGATTTAAATTTAAACATACATTATTTTTAATTATTTATTAGCATTTGATACTTTAAAATGTGTCACCATAACATACTATGTTTACCTAAATTTGAGCCAAAATACAACTTAGAAATCCAAATTCAAGTTTTCAAATATGTCATAAATAAATCGAGTATCATTTGATGGAGGATTAGTGTTGAAGTTTCAAAAAAGATAAATTCTGACAGTTTATGTTTTGCTATGACTATTAATGAAAGTTAATGCCAAACATTGTCATTTAATTTGTTAGATTATATTTATTAGCAATTCGGTATTCGCTAATGGTTAACTTCAATAAATAGGTATACATTTGACGTATATTATGTTTATATATATAGACATATAATAAAATGTATTTTAAAAATAGAAAATATTTAATGCGTGTACGTATCCATATGCTGAATGTCTAATATACATCTTAAGCTGTTTTATAAAACACTAATGTATAATACATGTCCCTATGTATTGACATATTATTCGCTAGCCGTACATTTATTCCTAACCAGGGGTTATACGTTAAACATTATTTTGTGTAGATAAACTGACTTAAAAAACAGATAAGTTATTTGAAATATTCATAAAAGGTGAGAGATATTTCTATACATAATTTGGTCAAAATGGAGAAATAAAAAAATTGAATTTAAAATAAACAGGTAAGCACAATTTATTTTGGGAAAAAGACTAAAGTAAATGTAAAATATTGAAAATATGCCCAAATAGGAGTTCTGTATTTTTACTCTTGAAATAGGAGTTAAAATATATTTATATTATCAATCATTGATAATGCATATACATTATCAATTATTATAAAAAAATATATAAGATCCACATGTACAATATCATTGATGATTTTAGATACCGGAACCTAGGAGATTAGATAAGAGAGTATCGAACAAAGGTTGAGTGCCTTTTCAGTTACAAGAGTACATAGTGAGTATATTTGCTTAGTACTGAACGTGTCCTTCTCTCCCCAATAGGGAGGGATATTTATACAATACATTTGTCATCCTATATATATATGTAAAAGAGAGTTCAATTATTGTAGTGTTGACATGTGGCATGCTACATGTGCATCCACATGTGCACTCACTAATGATGTGGATTTATGCATTTCAATTCATTGGTCCATATATATATGGTGTAATTAATCCACTTTTTATTAAAATATTTTATTAATTAAAATTATTTTTATTAGTACTAAATTCAATGACCATTAATTTTGTAGAATTTGTTTGTTTTTAAATTAACATACCAATATATATTCAACCAGTTTAAAATATTTTTTGTCACTATTAAAAAACTAAAACAACTAAAATTATATTTATACAATATCAGAAATTTAGAGTATATTCGAGCCCGTGCGAAGCACGGGGTTAACACTAGTATACTTGTGTTTCTCAGTCGTCATCTAGGACATGACCAAGTGGTCCGGGCCTAATAGAATCATATCTTTGACTAATAATACAAGAGATGTAATTACAAATAGTATGACTACAAAATCACATGCTCGTGATAGGCTGCCTTGCTTTATTAGCAGCAGGGACCGAGTACACGACTTTGTCGCTGGATGATAGTCAAGTAAAGATTTTCTCCAGGGTCCGAGTCCATAAGTTCGAGCTGAGTAGCGACACGTGTTCGACTACAATTGCCACCTTGAGGGCTTGATTTCCTTTAAGTCCCGCTCAGTCGAGTAAGACATTTTTGGCCGAGCGCGTCCGATTCCTGCGATTAGATGAGCCTTGCATCGGGGCGTTATTGTTTTTCTTGGACTGGATATCCTTTAGTTCAAGATATCCATAAGTCATATTATTACAATATACTCCCTTCGTCCCCAATTTGATTACAAATTGCGGGTTACAGAGTAAAATTTCATACTTTTTAAAATCATTTTATTTACAAATTGGTATATCAATAAGATATAAAAATTACATATTAAAAAACTACGTCAAAAGTTCAACAAAACAAGAGGTGACAAGAATATTTTATTTTATTAAATACTTAATGAAATCGCGTAAACAAACAAAAGTTATC